TACCTAATCATAGCATAGACAAATCAAATTTTTTTTAAAAAAAAAGGAAAACATTCAATCCATTAAAACACGGTAGTCGTTTGAACATTGAAAAGAAATCAAATTATGTTACATATTTGAAATTATCTAATATAGAGGGAAAGTTTTGCTTCTTTTTTCTACTAGACTGTAACCATTTTTATTATTTCACTTCCTTCCGTTTTTATTCTCGTTTGAATAGTTTATCATTTTGATATAGTTTCTCAAGGAACTAATCAAGATACTAAAGATTTATAATGTAATACTGGTAAAAATGATCTTAGGTTAGCAAATCAGAATTAAGATAACTCTTTATTTATTTTGTGCACAATTGAATGTGTAGGGATTGATAACTTGTATATTATTATTAACTAGATGAGAATTTACAATAAGTGATGCTTAAAATGCTCGGAATTAATTTTTAAAAATATATCTAAGCTCCAAACAAAATATGAAATTCAAACGGTGTTTACGCTAAACGACAAAACATAACAGCTCCTAAGACAGATTGCCTGCTTAATGTGATTCAATGTGTAGTCAAGGGTGTTTAATGAAGCTAAATAATATTCTTCCTTTCTAACTCTTCTTTTTAATCTCAACCTTAAGTGTGCTAACAGAAAGGTAACAAAGCGTTGCATTATAACTTATATCAGTTAGTGGTGGAAATCCCAAACCTAATTCGTTACCCCAACTCAAAACTCCAGCCTTACTCTTATCACCTTAATCTAACCTTTTTAAATTATACCCGATTTCACATGGTAATAATGACCCTTTAGGGTGATAACTCTAAATTAGAATAGTAACCTGACTCTTAATCTGTAAACTTGACCTTTGTCCTTTACTACAAAGAAGAATTTGGCATATGAGGGTTAATTATCCAGATCGAAACTGTTATTCCACTCTTATTTTGTGACTTTTTAGTGCTAATTGTTTCGTGAGTATACATCATTTCCTGATTGGTTGATAAGTCGCTCAAGGTCGTCAGGTTATTATGCTACTACCATAATACTATCCGTTATGGTCATCAAAATTTGACTGAGTTTGTCAGTTAAAGAACAGAATGTAGTTTTTTTTTAAATTTCAACGTAAATTATTCACTTGATTATAAACCACGATATTTATGTGAAAGTTTGTAAACCTACTTGTAAATCCTCTTTCGGAGATAGACAGTCATTGGTTTTGAACTTTAAAACTTTTCATTAAAGCCCGAAGCATAGTAAAACAACATCATGACCTATAAAATTTCAAATTCTGTTTGTAAGCACCCACCAAAATATAGGAACTTTGGTTTAAATCTGAACGGATAGTTTTACAGGATTTGGACACTGAGTTAATATAAGACATTAGGGAGGAAGAATATATTTATATAATCTTAGAGATCGAACTTGAAGTAAATCCAATATTTCACTTGGTAATGTGGTACAAGCTTTTTCATAGAAGTATGATCAAAATTATCGAATATAAACAATTAACTGTATACTAAATAGATCAATCAGTCATGTTAACAATGTTTGAAGTAAGTATTTGCTCCTCATACCTCGAATACACACAATCTGTTATCTTAAGACTTTTCGTTACACAACATATGTCTCAAGTACACTAAAACAAATATTTACTTTAAACATAGTTAACATGATTGATTGACCTATCTAGTTTACAGTTGACTGTTTATATTCCATAATTTTGATGTTTGATCATATTTCCTTGAAAAAGCTTGTACCGGATTGCCGAGTGAAACGTTGAATTTGATTCAAATTCAGTCACTGGGATTATACAAATATATTCTTCCTCTTTAAGGTCATTAAGTTGTTTAACTAAACAGTTACGTTAGTATGAGAAATTTGTGTGTGCTACTTGTATCGATATAAGTAGTATATGGCAGCCGAGGATTGAGAATATCAAGAAGGGAAAAATGTGAACAGAAAGCCACTAGTATGGAAATGCAGGAGCATTGAAGTTTGAGATGATCGACTGATATTTGAAAAAGAAACAGCCAAGTTTGAGACAATTGATTGATACTTTGCAAATTAAGTATTTACTATATGGTTCTTAGATTTTACTAAGACGTTCTGTAATTTTTTGTTGTCGTTCAGCACACCGTCACCGATGTAATACCTTTCAAGATTACATATTGATCTAAGTTAACGTAGTTCATATTATTACAGAATGCGAGAACATTGTCAAAATGAAAATTCCTGTGAGAAGGATTCATAATCCATTAGAACGGAAATTTAAAAATAAGAAGTATTTTTCAAGTGCAACAAATCAAATCTAAGTAATAGAGTTATGGAATGACACAAGCTTCTAGATTTAGAATACGCTATACAATGATTGTAATTGCGTTACTTTGATTCGTTCGGAGAAATTTCACCTAACGTCACCAACTATCATTTAACATTACTACACTGTCTACAACAAGAAATTCTGTTTGTTTTTCGAATCATTCAGTAACTTTATTGACTAATAGCAATTATTTTGTTTAGATATCTTTGACTTACTTCTAACCTACTCCTATATAAACCAGTGATGATCATCAGAACAGGTAGTGACTAGAAATCTGCAATATATATCCCATATCAGTAATTGGTTATTATCATTATATATGAAAAGCTTTATAAGGATTAAATTAGGAAACGGTTTAAATTTTTAAATGAACACCTCATTTATTAATTGTAGATTGAATTGTTTTTTACATAATGTACACTAAATACCTACAAACTATTTATTGTGTTTATAGGTATTAATACTAAGGTTGGACTTGATAGTTTTATATAACTTGAACATTAGATAGAAAGTTTCCTTTGTATTATTTAGACTTATGTCAATTTAATTCGGTTATTTACTTATTCTGAAGAAGTGGCTTACATTAAATCACGAAACGTCATTGGGATATAACAAAGAAAGATATTGATTATTATTTGTTGTTGTTTTTTTCAAAGTTATTGTTAACTAACTTGTTAGTATACAAAAAATCAAAATGATCTATATAGAAGTATATAATTTATGTTATAATTTATGTTAAATTATTGATATGCTATGAAGATGAAGATGACATAACTTCATGCGCTCTTGTGAAAGATAATAAATGACATTTATTTTATTATATACATGAATCAATTGCTTGTGTCACAAGATCATTGTTTCTTTGCTTTTCTACATGCATACATACTTTTCATAATACTCCAACTGGTTTAAGGTACTTTTTAACTTATTCATTTAGTGAAATGTATTGGTGAAATATAATACTTATGGAATATTACTGATTACCAAACAAATGGATGACCTTAAACATTCTAATTTTTTACACTTATTGAACGCTTAGTAATGACCAATACCATATTATTTAGTTTTTTAAACCAAGTTACAATGTGACCATACTAAACTATGTAACTTGGTATTATAATACATTTTTTTTACTGTTAGATGATTTGGAACAGTTGATTGATAGTCCTGGACTTCTTTTCAGTGTTAATTCTCGCTCATTACTAGTTATTCTAATACGAAATTTACGTCCAGAGCATTCTGTTTTTAGCTTTAAATCAACTAACATTTAAATAAATATTGGATTCTTGATCAATCAAAGTTAATTAGTGATGTTTAATTTCAAATCTAACTATCTCTACTGCACCCTTATGATAATCATCATCATATACTTACTAGTGAGTTCTAGTACAAATATCAAGCCATATCTAGCATGAGATAAATATCACTGATGACAATAGATGATGTTCGTACGCTATCACGAATTGCTTAGGGTCAGAAATGTAAAACATTAAATGACATGTTAGTTTTTCAAAGTTTGGTTCTGGTTTGAATCTCTGGTAAGTTAATGGATACCCGCTGCTCAGGAGTTCCACAGTAGAATGAACTGGCTAATCAATTTCTTCCTAGTTTTCAATGGTTATTAACTGAAATTCAGTTCATGAAATGAAACTTTAAATATCAGGAGTTTAACTGCCTAGCTAGTAACGTATATATTATGCGTATAAAGTTTACTTCATTTGACCCCAATTTTCTATCTAGCATCTTAGTAAAATTACATATTTATAACTTTAGTTAAATGAGAATTTCATATTAGACTTTTTCAAATCCAACCAACTAGTATGAACACTGATAATTGAAATAAGTTAACAATTCTCACTAACTAAAATAACAGATATTAATTAAGGGTTTACACATATTAAACTAGCCGGGGTTATACTCATTACTCAATAATTATTGTTGTGTCCTTTTTATTATTATCATCAGCTTTATTCAATATTATATTTTTGGTACAATATTGAATTCTCAGCGTAAAGTATTTGAAACGTTTCCGTTTCTTTCTTCTTGGTCGGTCCTGGCGATAAATATTGAGTGATCGCCAGTTAAATGCTAGCAGTTCAGTAAATGAACATCTGAATAATGTGCATTCTTTTCGCTATATTTTTTCAGCAACCACATTGTCTCTTATTGAGTTTTTCGTAACTTTGACAACGAAATGTTGTACACTTTTCAGAAACGCAGCAGAATAGGTTATGCGCTTAGTAAATATAATGATATATTAAATCAAACAAAAAATAGATAACTTGTTGAAATATCTAGATGGCAGGAACAGGTAGCCCAGATGCTCAAGCAGGCCGCAATATTAGTTATTTTCCTGTTCATTTAGTAAATAAATCCTCTATATTAAAGATTTTAATTCAAACTTTGAATTTCACTTTATTTATATTTTTCATTCGGTATATTGAACTGCACCACAGTGATATGTTCATTGCGAACAGTTGTAGGTGCCTTCAATGATTTGAAATTAAATCCTTGATGAAAATCACCTTCTTACTAAATAAACAGGGAAATGATCGAAAGAGATCAATACAAAATATGTATATAAGATTGTAAAGGTTCCAGATAACCTCGGTGGTCAAAATTATACAATTAGTTAATCACTTATAGAAAGAACTTTAAAAAAAAATTTTTTTATTCTCATATTTTGTTATCTTTATTAGAATTGAAGATCCGTTAGGAAGTTTAGATTTATTCTCAGTACTTCGTCATTATTTTAAACAGTCTGGTTTTCAAATTGAAACACCAAATGAACGTATTCGTTTATTGTATGGATCAGAAGAAGGACTTTATGGTTGGGTATCAGTGAATTATATTTTAGGTAATATTAAAGAAGTAAGTTTTGAACTAATAAGTTGTTTTATTATTTATTTTGGAGTAATTTTTATTCTTAAATGATTCAAACAATCTCTAAGTAGGATTATGAACATCGATATGAAAAAAAGTGTTACTGTCAACCGAACACACTAATCAATACTTGTTTACTGAAATATATAAAATTACTTCTGTTTTTGTTACAATAAAGAATTCTCGTACTTACTTACTCTTACCACCTTTCGTTGAGGAACATAGGTTGCTGACTAACACTCTCCATCGAACACTGTCCTAGGCAATTCTTTCCATTTGCTATTCATCCTCTTCATATCTCCTCTTTCGCCTTCCTCTTTTCCGTTTCCCTTCAGGATTCCAAGTTAGTGCTTGCTTTGTGACGCAGTTTGATGATTTCCTCAATGTGTGTCTTATCCATTTCCAGCGCTTTTTCCTAATTTCCTCCTCGGCTGGAACCTGGTTTGTTCTTTACCATAGTAGACTGTTGATGGTTTCCGGTCAACAGACATTCAGTATCTTACGTAGACAATTGTATATGAATACTTGAACTGTCTTGGTGATAATTACCGTAGTAGTTCTCCACGTTTCAGCTCCGTACAGTGGAACTGTCTTGACATTCGTATTGAAGACTGTGAACTTTATGTTGGTTGACAGTTGTTTTTAGTTCCATTTGTTCTTCGGCTGTAGAAATGCTATCCTTGCCTTGCCAGTCCTTACCTTTACGTCTGCATCAAATTCCCCACATTCATCGATGATGCTACCCAGATACATGAAACTTTCCATCTCCTCCGGTAATTTGTAAACCTACATTATAGTATGAGTATATATATGCTAACATTCATAATTATTCAGTTCAAACAAATCTAAAACCTGATAGTCAGTCGCAATATTTGCACATTTGAAAAATAAATAGCCTAAATGTTTGTGTAGACCGACGAGTTTAAACACAAGATTTTTAGATATCGTACTTCAAATTTGAAACCTTGAAACAGGTAGAATACCATCGAATCTTATGCAGAAGGTTTGGTTGAAAGCCTAATATATGGAGGCTGTATTTGGTGGTTTTATTACACCAATCTTAATTTTTTCCTGTTTGGTTAAAAAACCTGTTGCTAAGCTATTAAATGTTCCATTACTTTTTTACTCACATGTTCTTTTCTGTAAACTGGTGTACATTCTATAATTATTTTCAGAATGTTTTATTATTATTTTTTGCACTGGGATCATCGAGCATTGTGCTTAGTTTTTTTGTATAGGAGATACCATAAGATATACATGATTGTCAGTATAGGAACGTCGAGATTGTTGAGTTTCATTAAAATCATGAACCGATCAATGTTAGACCAACATTACAAACATAGAGGCTCTGAACTATCTTTTAACCCTGGCCTAGTGCATATCCAAGAGCCCGCATGCGCGACTTAAACCCAGAACCTTCGGTCTCATGTGCGAACGCTTAACCTCTAGACCACCGAGCCTGTGTTTAGTGGTGTTAATATCTAGATTCAACCAAACCACGATATTGAGTTATTATCTTCCATTGTCTTTGGTCGAACTCCACTGATCACGGCCTTTCACTAGAACTCAAGTAATTCCCCCTCAACACCAATCACTACTGAGCATATGAAAATTGTGAGTATGGGTTTATAGAGACTGCTGAGTTTCATTCGAATCATAAACTGATCGATGAAAGACGGTTGCACATATATCTTACAATCTCTTTATAATTAACTTATTTGTTTTTTAATTATTACGCTCAAATATGATTAGGGTAAACAAACAAATCCTACTGATACAGTTGGTTCTTTGGATCTTGGTGGAGCTAGTACACAAATTGCATTTGTTCCTAAACAATATTCAACTATACCAAAAGAACATTTAAATTTTTATCCACTCCGATTATATGGAAATGATTTTTCAGTATATAGTTATAGTTTCTTATGCTATGGAAAATCGGAGTTTGAAAGACGTTTAATGACTTCCATTGCAGTAAGTTTTCATTTCTGAAATTGGAAATAATAAACTTTGATTAGTATCTCAAATAGTTGTAGTTCTATCTAACATGTTTCTTGAGATTTTATTTATTATAATATGATAATTGATAAAATAATTTATCGCTTAAAGTGTTTATTTTCATATATTGAGTGTTCTTCTTTCCTAAGATGTTCTTATAATGATTTTTCCAAATTTCATAGTTACCAAGATACTTTTTTTTAAATCTAAGTTTACGACAACAACAAAAAGAAATATATGTGCATCCTGTCTTGATTGCCTTTATATTGACATGATGTCACAGATTTTATATTAAATAGATGGAATGTGATTAGAAATAAAATTCGGGATTTGTGTTTCGTTTTATTTGGAATTGTCATCTAAATGTACCTAGATCTCAATGTTAACGTTTACACTTAGTGTTTAGGACTCTTCATCAGTGTGTACCATCATGATTCTATTGGATAGCGAACATAAAAAATTCAGATCTCATAACGAATGTGTTACTTTTAAATCACTGAATTGGATTTTAAATCATCAGAATTTAGCAGGTCTAATTAATTTTCGTCATTCGATCATTGACTCGGATGTAGCCTAGTTAGCTTAAAGCTTGCTCTACACTTTCGCATTACGTCAAGAACTAAAACATTTCATGGCTGATCTGAAACACTTGTCTCTTGGGCAACACATACACATTCCTAGGTCATTACAACCACTTCTAACCCAATTTCCTCTTTGACTATCTCAAGCAAAAGAATTATCTTTCTACAATTTAAGAAACCAGAAAGTAAAAGCCGCTCTCATACCTTTTTTTCATTGTTGATATGTATCACACTCCTGACATGATTGAACTCAATCAATCACAGATTATTATTAGAACTTTGATTTTCTTTAGTTAACTCCAATAAAATTAATAATTAAATATCAATAAATTACATTTTAGTTGGCAGTATCACTTACGTAATCTGTATAGTGATTTCAAAGTTATCATTCAACGCATTTCTAATTCTCAGCATGAATATCTCATTTGAGTTGTTGAGCAATAATAATAAACATCATTCCATAAAAAATTAACTGAAGTGAATACATACTTATTCAGATTGTATAGTGAATGCACACTAAATGATTCATATGTCAACTTCTATAGCCACATCTTTCTGAGTAAACACTCTTCAAAACCGTTTTTTGATAGTGAAAGTAAATATAATTGATCACTAAGTTTGGGAAAACAGTCTCTCAGCTTCTTGAACATTGAACATGTGATTTCCATCCATCTTATAAATTTCTATCCCGAACTTACTGAGATTAACTGTTTGTAGTTGTGTGAAGTTTGTGCTGATGATATCGTTCAGAAGAACGATGAAAGCTCCACGATCAAACTATCCAGCTTACAGAACAAAACTCCGTCAAAATTAAATATTTATCTAGTATTTACTCTGGTTCCCCATTTTTGGTCATGAATCGTCTATCTGATATAACATGATCTAGTCTCTGTTTAGTGGATTGTTCAAGTATTTAATCTAGCGGTATTATAAAATCAGTCACCCAGACCTGTATTACTTATTATACCGCAAAAAGAAAAACGTTTTAATCCATCCATAATAATAGAAACAGAGAAAATGTTTCTTATCAGTATAAAATTTTATTTATAGACATCATTAGTTCATTATATTTCAGATTCTATATATTCATATTTATATGTATGCGATAATGTTAGCCAAGTCCAATTTAATAATGATAAGTAAAGGTTACTATCAAAAGTTACTGTCAATGAAGAAAGACAACGTTAACCAAGTTTTATTCAACATAATAGAATAATTCAGCTTTGTTTTACATATTTAAAGCAAGTCGTCAGAAAACCTTAAACATAACAGAGATCACTGATGATTACAATAGGACTCTTAATGTGATGCTGACCTAAAGGGTGCGAAATCTCAAAGTATCAAAGGTTTCTCCAAGATTTTATAAATGCCATGACTATTATTATTAATATTATTACATGTTAATCCATTGAAAATCATTATATATTAGAAATATTCACTTAGTAATCGTCTTTTTCTCTCTTCACAGGCACAATTTCCTGTACAAAATGAAATTCCTAATCCATGTTTTCTTCAAGGCTATAAATCAGATTTGTACAATGCACTTGAGTGGTTCACTGGAAGTTGTTTATCTGGAACTTATGCAAAGAAAACATTTTCTGAAGAAATTTTCCGACCTTCTGTAAGTTACGAGTTGATTTAGTATTTAGATAGTTTCAGTTATGTTAACTGTACGTATATAGTAAATTTTGTCTTTTGGAAAACATTTTATGCCTACGATTAGTTTTAGTTCATAGTCTGTCTAATTTATTCATCCTTAATATAGTCGAGGATTAGAAAGTAGAGGACTAAATTCGTTCATAACTACAGATGAAATTAGTTGATTTGACAAAATGACTGGCAATTGGATGTAGGATTAGTGTTTCGTCCTATTTAGGACCCGTTTCCTGGATGTACTTACATCATACTCTTCATATTTAAATCGAAAATTAAACGCAGTACCTTTCCCCTTAAACGTCAGTCAGTTATCCATTGGCTCACTGAGTCCAGTTTGCCACCAACTTGTTACAGTACTTTAAAAGTAATAATGAAGGTATGTAATTTCCCGTTGCTGATATTCAAGATTGTAACTGATCAGTCTCAGTTGCCATATTTTCATCTTAAGTGGGTCGCCCCTATATAACGTTATGTCGCAAGTTTTATTATATTTGATATGTGCTTTGCAGTGGAATCTAGTATTCATGTTTTATCTTATTTGAAATTCGTCAGATAAATGTAATCTACATTCCAATAATGATATTCACATTGAGTCTTAAGCCCAGTTCTTTTCGCCTCAGTAAAACAGATGACGTAATTATTGAAATAATTTCTCTAAAAATTTGTTCAAGAAATGGAAATTAAATTGTTTTCCGATTCATTGACAAAAATATTGCACTGATTATTTGGATTTTTTAGTTACATTTATCATTATCATCATCAGTCGAGTCATTAATTCAATAAACAGAATTCAGTAGCTTGAATTTACATTTCAGGTTGTTTGAATTTCGTGGAATGAATAAAATAAACAACCTATGCATTTTATCCATCAGCTATATACTTTTTCTATCGTCTCGTTTGCAGCTCCTAAAGAAAAATGTCCTGAAAGTCATGACTAAAATTTTAGATTCATTCAAGGTTATCATACCTCTTTGTCTAAAATTAACCTATCTCCTGTAACTTTAACTAGACAAGATATTTGAAAACCGAAGAGAAGTACTAATTAGCCACTTTTTTTCCCCAACAACTTGTCATTCTAGCGATTTAATCCATCTGTATATTTCAAAAAAATGTCAGTCTGCTTAAGTAAACGGGAAAAATGCAAATGTTCCTGTGAAATGAAAATATTTTTCAACAGATTTTCATCATAAAAATCTAACATTTTCTGTTACTAGTAATCAGCAAGCGTTTTAACATTGACCTCATATGTCATCTAATATTGGAAATGTTAAATATCTATTTAATAAGAGATCAGGTCATCAGACTAAGTGATCAACATTTTGTTGTAAGTGACTTATGAAGATTGTGAAATTTCATAGTTCATATCATGAACTAGTTCTAGTTATACAACTACTAAAAAGTAGGAAGTGTCAGGAAACTGTTTCGTACAATGGTGAAACTTTTTATAAATGCCCATCTATGACCCAACAGGGGAAACTAAGGCCTCAGGCCTTTAGAATACCAAGCAGGAATTCATAGGTCTACATTTCTAACATCAATCAATTCTTGATATTCCGTTCACTATTGGGCCTGTAGGTTCTATGTTCGATTCCTGGTAGAATTGTGGATGTGCACTGCTGAGGAATTTCATACTGGGATATAATTGCTATACGGTACTCCTTAGTTTTAGATAGCTTTCGAACTAAAAATCAATCCGTGATGGAAACTAATCAATTTTTTTAATTTTTAATAATGCTTGAAAGTTATTGCTTGTTCTTCAGATTTACAAATTAAACTATACACTTATCTACATTAATCCACAGTTTACTGTTCTGTTTCCTGTAGTTAGTTACTTTATCTATTAATATATTATGTTATTGTTTTCTAAAGTTATTTGTCAATTAGTTTGACAACAATATTGTACCAAATAGATTTTCTTATTGAGATGGTGGAGAAGATTTGTAGCTCAGGTGGATCTGAAGTTTGTGCTGATGATGTCGTTCCGAAGAACGGTGAAAGCTCCACGACCAAACCATCCAGCTCAGAGAACAAAACTCCACCAAGATTTTCTTATTCATTATTTATGGTAGATCTTAGTAAAACACATGATAAACACTTTTCTTTATACTTTAGAATATGAATAGTTTTTCATTTGATGGTACAGGACAACCTAATGAATGTGTCAATTATATTCAAAAACATTTTCAAACGAAATGCAATTTTTCATCATGTTCATTCAACAATGTTTTTCAACCAGTTCCATTTGGAAAGTTTTTGGTAAGCTATTTTATTTTAAATAAAATTAATTATAATAATAATAACTATTATTATTATTATAGATAACAGATAATAGGTAATATTTCGGTTAATGGCACTGGAAAACGGACCCAAATCACGTTATATTCGGGACGCATTAACTAGGTGTACCTATTTTTCTATGTTAATGTTCACATGGGGACTTGCTATCCTCCTTTGCTAGTGTTCGAGAGTTATACGTTATTAAGTGAATTCATGAGTCGATTTAAGCTAGATCACCATTGATAACCTGGAAACATTGGAAGGCCGCCTCGTCTTAGTATAGGACTCCTAAGCAGTGCGCACCGACGATCCCGCAGAGGCTAATGTGTGTGAGCGAGCAAATACATAGGTGAATTTATGGTCAAACCCAATCAAGGCGCAGAGAAGCACGCCAAAGGCTACTATTAGGGTTCTAGAACATTCATGAGGAAGAGGATCACTCAATGAGTAATATTTGAGCGACTAACATTTAAGCTAGAGAGAGGTATGTGCGTAGTCTATCGCATGTGATCAAGTCTACATATTTATACAGACATGATAGTGTTCACAATAATACAAAGAAATAGACGAATTGTTTGTTAAATAAGTTAGTAAAAGGGCTTGACAAAAGTTAACCATAATCGAAATTAAACATAGGAGTGTTGCTATAGTTGTTTCACTCTTTATAATCAACTATTCTATTCGAACATGAACCACTGAAACACCTCGATTTCAATGAGGATAAGATTTTTCCCCTGGATGTCCTGCTCCCTTTTAACAATCTTTTTCAATGAATTGCCTATCAAGTCAACAAAGTGATCCCACATGACAAAGGTCTAGTGATATGTGGTGTATATTGAAGTTGTGACATGGTTCATCCTTTTTTGTTGTTAAAATGCCTATTATCATTGTTATTCAATGAATCACTAATAAAACGATTTGCCCAAAGGTTAAATTTTAACAAAAGAGAAAAAACTCATCCATTTACATGTTGTGCCTAATGTGCATCAAAGGTAGCAAGTAGTTGTCATGACTTTTTGCCCTCATACTCTATCATATCCACCCTATGAGTAAGAAAAATTAATTTTTTCTACCAGTTCGAAGCAATCTGTGCATTACAATAATATCTTCCCGAATTTTTTCTTTAAAATGGGCAATAACTGAGATTTAATTATTGTGTTCCCCTGTCCTACTGCTAATACTTGAAACCAGAAATTACTACAATTCCTGTGACATTAAGTACAAACACGGAAGACTTAATATAGTGAAGATTGGTTAACTGTTTAGAAACATGTCTTTACTGTTTTAACTATGAATAGATCTTGATAATCAATGAATTGGTCACTAAACATAGATAGACTATATCATAAAATTAGCCATCTAAACCAGTCGATATAACTAACACAGAGCTATGGAGATCAGCTCAAGCGGAACGATTACAAAAGCGACTTATTAGAGGAGGAATGAGTATAGCATACGCTACTGTGATACTTAGACGGATAGATATAGGTAGTATATAGCAGGAATTGGAAGTCGAATACTTACCAGCAGAAGATTGAAGTGAAGAAAAGAGAACGGACAGCAGTAAGCAATGAAAATAGCAACATCATTGGAAGAATGACAAAGTATGTAGAAGACAACTCAGAAAAGATGAGCAAATGATATATTTGATGTGATTTTCATGTTTTACAAAGACACTGTGTAATTCTATTTACCCAACCCAAATCTTCGTACATTACATACAATACGATCACTCCTTAAACTGTAATGATCTGTCTCAGCTTATAGGAAAAAATTCAGTATCACATATCACTAGCATTCATATGAATTAAGCTCTTGGTCACCCTATCATTAACATTCACCCTTTAAATAGTGTGTGTTTAGCCTTGAAATCTGTTGTTCATCGAGGGAATGGTATGCAATGCAGTTTTTTTTAAATATGGAAGGGATAAAAATGAGAGAAAAATTAACTTAACAAATCAGTAACCACTTGAAATAAACTTATTTATAATGTTCAAAAAGCACTCATGCATAATAAGTAACAATAAAAACATGAAATTATGACGATCGGATATTCAAAACAAGGAGTTTAAAGCATAAAATTTTTAACTCATTACTTTATATCAGTCCTGTTGGCCAGTTATAGCTCGAAGAGCCCACTGGTATTGTCCCAGACTATAAAGCTGGATGGTATGGGTTCGATTCCCTAAAGATTGCAGATGCCAGTTTTCGACGAAGACCAGTTAGCGCGAAAACTAGGTTAAAAATTTCCCGTTGAATACTTCCAACGGCCAAGCATTCATTAACTTATTAAAAAGAACTACTGACAGAATGATGAAAACGATGCAATAAATCATTCAAAGAATAAAGTACCCTGCCAATCGTTGTTAATTATCCGATACACAGCTGTCAGTACATTTTAAAAATGTTGAACATTAGATTTCTGAACTTGTAAGAAAGAAAATTCCATTAGTGTTGTAATATAATTGATAAAGTAACTTTTAGTGGGGCCGGGATCTGACTCCAATTAGATATGTTGATCGCTCTTGAGTAAGTGCTATCGAAATATATATGTTGCCTATCCTCGTATATAAACATCGACTTAAATCGCGTTAGTCAATAACGGAATTAAATAAGTCGAGTAACGAGAATGAATTTCGAATACGTATATTTCATACAATCGTTAGTCCAGAAAAAATATCGGAGAAGCGAAGGGAAAAGATTGAGGCAGAATTACGCGCAGTAGAGAAGGCATCTGAGCAAACTCCATTTAACCAAGCGTTAATCAATATTTATGGTCACACAAAATGATGTTACCGTCATGTGATGGATGGGATAAGAAGTGTACACACATATATATACGCTCATATAAAAACAGTCAAGATTGATAAGCGAATAATTAACAAGGTCAAAATGTGAATCAAGTAGAATGAATAGATTGGCCTGTCCGAAAGCTAGAATAAGGTAAATGGGTTTAACATAATAAACGACATTACAAGCGCTTAGTAATCAATTAGTTGATTGCTTTCCGCGGCATCATAAAACACTAACTTCCATTCCCTAGGCGTTATAAATTAACCTCTTATGATTTATGATGAAAAATCTATTTGAGAATTGTTAAATTAGTTGATGAAATGCTCCGATTTGTTGATAATACATAATGATACAGTGTGATCAAGCAATGATCAATCACAAAACAGAATCAATGATAGAAGCCTCCAATAGAATAGATCTTTTCTTCGAACAAAATAACATGCTAATACATAAAATATTGGATACAGGAATAAATACGATTATAAGTCATTTAACAGGTAAACAATTTCAGGATATACCAACTACATATCATTCACTGTCCAATGGAGTTAATGCTTACATATCAGGCTTGTACCTGCTTTATTATACCAATAGCAATAAAATTGGAAAATTTCACCAAACTGTTGAAAACCGGTGTTTTCACAATACAACTGTTAATTCTTACTTATTTTCCTATTTCTTTATGATGTCTAACCTCTACACACCACACTAAGATTCTTTCGGTTTTATTTCTTCTCTTTTTCTCTATAAAATTTGTGTATTTCTTCTCGTAGCTGAGTCATAGAAATTTAATTATAACTAAGTAATCTACAGACATTTCAATATGGTTTCATTTATTTAGGATTTACGAATTATTCTTTCATTATTATAACAACAAAAATACATCAAAATGATTCATGTCAATTTACAAATCACATCAAGGATGATTCAGATTGCCAGTAATTTAGTGTATGTCAAATTAATTTAATTGCTTTAAAATAAACTTACTACTATGTATTAATGAGTAGTATATTTTCTGACCAGTAAAATGTTGTCCAATTTCCTGATCAATTGACTTGAATGAAACGGATTGAAGATAGATTTTTTAAAATACTTGAATAATTTGAATTGTATGAAGTGAATTATCGAAAAGAATTGAAGTTTTAAGTTATGTCATATTATATTTGATTTCAACCGTTTTTCATCAATCATTTCTTCTTGAACCTTATTGTTTATATGTAATCTTTTCTACTACCACTAATACTGTTAATACATATACCATTCTGGGATTTATCTTGATAACTTCATTTCGTTGTGCTGTTCTGATATGATAACTTGAATAAATGTGCACATATCTACTGGGTTCTATTCTTAGTACTCTGAAAAATTGACACAATGCTTTAATATACTTTATCAACTTTTTCTGCATATGAAATATTTCTCAGAATGTACCTTTGTGGGTATAAAGGTTCTTGTAGGCTAATGGATGCTGTTAGTAGATTGATTATTCATATTTGATCATTATTAACTGACAATCACAAATTTTTTCATGTTTATTCCATGTTTTCTTTCACATAGAATATTTCCTTATATGGACAGTGTCTAGTTATGCGTAATTTTTCTAAAATCTTTCTTCAGTTATGCAGATTTTAGCAATGTGAAAAATAGTTGTACACAGGTTTCTTTTTGTTAGGTTTGAAGCTTCTCGAGTTCACTTAATCTGCGAACGAGAACAAGACTCAGTGACCAAAAGACCAGTAATCTAGCTATTGATGCGTTCCATCCCCGCTACCTAGAAGGAGAATTCCAAGCTTGGTATGGAAAACATATTCTGCAAACAGCCCGAAAACGAGCTAGCCCACAAACACAATTTAAAACGTATATATACAAATCTATATAATCGATATTGTCATGAGAAATTTTTAAACATTATTCAATGAGTTCATCAATTGACTGCTATTCATTCATTTAATCGATATGATAAAATTACAAATATGAGTTTTGGGGATATATCGTCTTCAACACTTTTTAACTTAATGTCACCATGATTTCAGCCTCAAATGAACATTAATTTTACTGATATCTCTATTATTCATCAATTTTAAAACAGTAGCTACCTCTCCGAATCACTTAAATTACACTATCTTAACGCTGAAAAGAGTAGATTTTTTAGTTTACGATAATGTTTGAACTGATTTGCACGGTTCAAATTATTATTTCTTCTTTACTGTTTAGTAATATAATACATAACTAAACTTTTCAATAAAGTAATATTCATATTATGTACTGCTTTTTAAATTTAATTTCAGGCATATTCTGGATTTTCTTATGTGATGCAGTATTTATTTCCTAACAAGAAGACAGGACTTACACTAACAGAAGTTACTGAAGCTGTTACGAATTTTTGCAAAAAACCATGGAAAGATGTAAACTTTCATTCATTTTCTGAAAATTTCTTATCACTTATATGTTAATTTAAAAAAAAATTATAATTGATATGAGGTGATTGAGTGTACTTAGAAGGGAATTGTATGTTAAGGCTTCGTTAGAATTAACACTCATCAGCAAGGCGTACCTTCAATCCTGTCAAAAATAACAACCTTTGTAGAATTAGAACTTGCAAGATGAATTTCGATTAGCACTAAGAAATAGACAGCTATATTATTAGATACTGCTCGATAATCAATCGATATGAATTCTTGATATAATTATTTGTAATAGACATATAAATATTACATGAGTTGTGATGTTCAACATTTCAGCTTATGTTAATTATCATTTGCTATGATAACCACTGTAGATAACTTGGTTAGTTATTACCATTACACAATTACCACTACAATTTGTTTACTGCATATATATATATATATATATATATATATATATAGAGAGAGAGAGAGAGAGTTGTATCTGGAGAGTCGTTACTATTATGCACGCATCAACTTCGCTGAGTCCGCAGTCTCATTGCTTTTACTTGGCTGTCGGAAACTGCTGCAACTTCTCAGTCGTATTGCTTATACTGTGACACAGAAAAAACACTATATTTCTCAAGACTCAGTAAGAAAAGGAAAGATTGATGCAATGAGGATTTATTGACTCCCCCAAAAACACTTCTCCAAACAAGTTTCAAAATCACATCATCATTAGACCAAAATACAACCATCTATACACTCATTTTTACACTCATTTTATGATAACACATGTAGGGGAAAATACATAGGGTTACTGTAAATGAACACTACATGTAGATCATCTGAATTAATACAGAGAATAAAATTGTCACACTGAATGCATGTTCTGACGTGTCATATCGAACAACGTTTATATTGAATTGACACAAGAAAATACTAACTTAAGAATGCTATACTAAACCAGAGTTCACACCTGTCACTCTAACTAAAATTCATGATGAATTGATCTAAATGATACCATTTTATCGACCATGACCATTTTGGGTGTGTGTGGTGTCGGGGCTTCTAAACTCACAGTATTCTTCAGAATGGTAATACTGCGTAGTAGTATTAAGTCTGAAATCTACAAAACATAATAGCAACTAACAGACAGATAGCTGTCATCAACACAGATGGCATATATATGCGTTAGATCAAGTTGCTGCACCACATCAGTACGATGAGGTGAAATGAAAAAGAAAAGAATTGAAATAATGCAGAAGCAATCAGGAAAAGAAAGTCTAACTCAATGAAGTGATTGAAGATCCACTAAGTTATCAACCGATTTACTACCTATACTAGTTACCCATTTAATTATGAGTAAAAGGCAATATCGCTTCTGACTCGTCTTTTTGGCGTAAACTAAATAATTTTTATTTTAGTTACGATGTAGTCATCGGTTAAAATGATACGACAGTACACGATACACCTTGTATTAACGTTCATTGGTTAGACAAAATTGACAGATTACCTTGTACTTAGTTTTCATGCTGTGTAGAAATCGCTCAGCAGAGTATATCTTCAGTGCCAATGAAACTGATACTATTTAAATATCGTATGAACTCACGTCACAGTCAAAGATGTTAGTACTAAACTACTTGGTCGATGCAGTTAATCTCCAAATAAAGATCAGATGTTGGTAGGTTCTACTCCATTCATCTACATTGCTTTAGACATCCAGGTAGCCCTGACGCACACACACACAGAGAGAGATTTGATTTTAAAGCTGTACACACTTATTTTGTATTACTTTCTTATTTTATTTTTTCGTTTTTCTTTATTTACCATAAATTTTTAGGTGGCTAAAATTACAAAACCATCTGACTATGGATTTACTGCTAAATATTGTTTTGATGGTTTATATATTATTCAATTATTGAAAATGTATGGTTTTACTACGGATGAATTATGGAAAACACTTACATTTGATTCGAAAGTAAGATAAATCACTTCTTTTTATTAGTATAATTAACTGAGCTTTTGATTTTATGCTTGATCATAGTAAATATTAAACGTAACTTAAACTTTTGGTATTGTTGAGTTATTTATGTTAGGTGATATGATCGAGAAGATTTCACTGTTGCTCTGGTTAGCATCATCAATGTTTAACTTTCACGTAACTTGAGCAGCTTTTATTATGATTGATTATCTGTTTAGGTTTTATTGTTTTCAGCTGTGTTTGTAATCAAGCTGTCTGGTCTAGTTCAGTTGATTTCTGATCATGTGATTCGTTGACCTTTCTAATGTTCTAGCTCTTGGATTTTTTTATTCACTACTGTTGATTTATATTCTAAACTAAATAACTGAGACGATAATAACTGAAAAAAGACATTTGTGTTTCATTCTTTTATCTTATCCTATGAATGGTTTAAAATTTATCTGTCATCACTATTTAGATAGTTTTCATCACAAACTGTTGTCATCTGGATAATCATGGAAAATGAAACAGCTTATTTCATTCTAGATTGAGAGTATTTTATACTGTGGCTGAGTTCGGTATGGGTTTATGGTAGTTACTAATTACGGAACATCTGAGCTTATTCTAACACGAATGCATTCTACGACAAACCCAATAGAACAGCGATTGGCACACAATATTCCAACAGTAATCCTCTATTGCGATCGAATATAGGAATAAGACGAGAGAGCAGAAGAATTAGATGTTCATATATATATATATATATATATATATATATATATATATATATATATATATATATATATATATATATATCAACATGTAAAATTCATCAAATGATCTCAAATATTCTTTTAAGTAGTAGATCAATTATATAAGGGTATTTCAACAGTTCACTTTTACTGTTTCTTTCAGCAGATTAGAAAAATGAACGACTTTTTTAAGTTATTTATAATCATTAATAGTAGTATGATTTCATTTTTGTTTATTTCTATTGAATACTTTTTTTCCTCTCTATAGGTTAGTGATAAATCAGTTAGCTGGGCATTAGGCTACATGTTAGATCAATCTGGTCATTTACCAAGTGAAAGTCCAAAAGTTTCTTTCAGTACAAAATTATTTGTTGGTCTATTTATTCTACTACTTCTATTCATCATCGGTTCAATTATTGGACTATTACTAATTAGAAACTTTTTGTCCAAATCGAAAAAGTCATCTAGTCAGGTATAAATTATGTGTAAACAACAAAAATAACTATCATCAATCCATAAATTCCATTTTACAATCTATTGTGTAATACATCAACTAATCAGTATCTTTTCTTTAATCTTCGGTTTAATTCCACATATTTCCCTTCTCTCTCTATCTCTCTCTTTATGTATAGTAGTAAAACAAAAAAGCTAGAAGGAAATAAAATCATAATTACAGTTTAATACCTTCATTGGATTTCGAAAATAACTGACAACAACAACAACAAATAAATAGGCAATACATTTTGTTGCCAAGTAATAATAATAATAATGATAATAGTAACAATCATATGCAGCATACTAAGAACAAAAAAACGCACAAGAATTCCAGTAATCATTAAAAATGATTTTAAAGTTTTCACAGTTCTATCTTCTTTGCATTTTATCTGTTATACAAACAATTCTATGAACAAACTAACTGCAAAATAATAATTTTGCTACTTTTTTATACGTAACAACGTGTCTTTAAAACAATTAAATAAATAAACCATGGTAATTTTCCTCCCCCCCCCACTTGTTTTGTTAACTTAGGATATTTTTTATCGTTTTGTGTTGTTAAATTGTGTAATTCTTTTTTTTTCAATATCAATATTCTTTTCCCAGACTTAAGTGGCCAATCATAACTATGTATTTTGGTGTGCGTGTGTGTGTGTTTTATTTTTTTATGTGTTTATCTAACCATATTATATATATATACACGTAAGTTGTGTATTCATCTTCTCTTCTGATTGGTTTGTTCACACATTTATTTCGCAGCTTTTTATTGGTTATCGTTGTATTCGCAATTAACGTTGTCCGAAATAAGTAAAGGAAAAATAATTGTAATCATAAGTCAATTGAAGCTAGGCCATCATGACAAAACCTGGAAGCACTGAACGGCCGTTTAATAATAATTCTTTGAACTCGATTATTTTCTAATTAATTCACATAAAATAGAACATAATAACAATGTTTAATAATCATTAATGATTTCTTGAAGTATTATTTACCTATAAGCAAAGATGGATAGTGGCTAGCAGTGGAATCCAGGACGCGCGTTTCGTCCAGTTTGAGACTTGTCAGCTGGATGTACCTGCATCTCAGAGTTGATGTTCACTCTGGTACTCGAACTCTATCTAGTTTATCTAATGATAAAGATTAGTTGTAAAGAGATAAATCAGGATTATTTGTTATATTCTCATTAAATTACTATAAACACTTAGTCAGTTATTAATAGTTCACTGAAATTTTAATATAACTCATTTATCAAGTACCATTTGGTGAGTACAACTTTGAGTTACGTATTGTATGTATGAATGAGGGTAATATTATCCTAATTAGGTGTAATGATATTTGAATTTGTGACTTCTTAGTTATAAACTAAATGAGTCAATAACTAAGACATTATCAGTTAAGATAACTGAATATCTTAATATCAATTCAAAAAGAAGTTTGTTATTTGTCTGATGGAAGTAGGAAATGACTGATCAGTGCACAAAACTAGACATATTCAGTCGCACTAAATAGGAGAGGCCATCTTACAAGTAAAATTTATTACAGTTATATTTCATTTGATTGCACTTACTGATTCCTTTGTATTATGTGTTTATAAACTCTCATTCTGGTGCATATTTAGTTTTTGACCATTAACCCCTAAATCAGAACAGTGTTTAGATAGAAATCTACTAATATTCCAAAAAAAACCCAGCAATTTAACTAAGTTTATAAAGAAAAAGTCAGTATATTTATGATTTTTGCACAAGAACATTCTAAAGTCTTCTCTACTTATGAATTAGTGCTGATTGACCAGAAATAGGTCGATCAGTATGCTATAACGTAATTCTCTATGGAACATGTAATAACTTAACCCATGTCCTACTGACAGTTGGTAAACACAGAAGGAATACATAGTAGCACAATTTCTTTTCCTGATGACTTTCTAAAGTCATACCTGGACATGGAGTAAGGCTGGTTTTTGTCTCATTTCTACAGATTTCAATGAGCCACATATCAACTGGTTAGAGCCTACAACTTCAGGTGGATGTTTAGACTGAAACCTACTGTTAACTAGTCTTCAGTTTGAACTTGTACAATTTATCAAACAACTGGCATATTATAACTTAGAATATGAACAATCACTGTTGAACCTTGTCTTCATTCAACGTTATGAAGCTTCCGACATTGATTTCTTACCCCACACCCCGTCCCAATATCTGGCGGGCTAACATTCCGGTAATCAGAGATTTGTTGTTTCACTAAATTAATCAGTTAATTGAAGGTGAATTGATTGAGTTTAAGGCCGCAGCCAATCCGTTCATTCTATGGTCAGCTCCACGTAAGCCATCACGTTGACCTCCATGCATCGATAGAGATATCCGAAAATCATTGTGAAGTAGGAAGCACGATTGGAATTTGGTCTTAACAGCGGGTCATGAATCGTTCAAGTGAGAGTACTGTAAGATTAGGAATTTATGTGAAACGAGTATAGCCAGATCTAGCACTACTTACGAAAGTCGGCACATGAGACATAATTGCCCAAAACGATTGTTGTAATATATAGAGAAGAGAACGAAACAGTCAGTCAGCTACAACGTAGAACCAGGCAAATATATCCATCGGTCCAAGTTTCCATACCTCATTAGCACAGCAAGGTGGACACCAGATTCATAGAAGCAGTTAACTCAATGGTGCAATATATAAAGGAAAAATTATTGCATATAAGGATATAGTATAGGAAGAAAGATTTAGTACGTACATAGAAAGACATAAAATAATTTTAGTCTCATAGTTTAAGGAAAGACAGAGAGTGTATACACCGACGACATTGTGATCGATTCTGAGCCATGTCACCAAGAATCTCTAACCATTGGTTACGATAGTCACGCGGACACCAACCAAGTAGTCTGCATCTACCAACATGGCTCAGACTAGAAGTTAGTGACTTCAAGCAATGATGCCATGTTTTGGTTTGGCCACCCCTAACTTTCGTCCAGTCGTCTCCAACACTAGTCCGCATTGCGCGTCGTGGTAATCGGTGTTCAGGCATACGTAACACGTGGCCCAACCATCTCAGTCGATGAAGATTCACAACCTCATCAACTGATTTACCATCGTTCCCTAATGCCATGAGTCTAACCTCACTATTACTTACCCGGTGATCCCAACAGATGCAAGCAATATTTCTAAGACATCTGTGGTCAAATATTAGTAGCTTACGAGTATCTCCTACTCTTAATGGCCACGTTTCGCTGCCGTAAATTAAAACAGAACGAACTGCCACGCAGTATACTCGTCCTTTTATTGATAGACGGATATCTCGCCTTCGGCATAGGTGACGTAAGTTGGCAAAAGCCAAACGAGCTTTTCGAATCCATGCTGATATTTCATCAGACACCAACCCATTTGGGTTGGTCAGACTTCCTAGGTAAGTGGAGTTGTCAACGCGTTCGACTACTTCACTCCCTATCCTTAGTTCAGGTGTTGACGCAGACCAGTCTTGAAGCAACAACTTGCATTTAGAGGATGAGAAGCGCATTTCAAACATGCTGGCATTGTTGCTCAGTGCTACCAAAAGACTCTGCATTTTGTCAGCGTCTTCACCAAACAGGATTATATCATCTGCGCATTCTAAGTCGATAATTGGACCTCCTGGAATGAGATCAATGCCCGGAAATTCGGTCAATAAGACCGTTATTTCCATCAGTAGGTCTATGATGAAGTTAGACAAAAATGGAGAAAGTCGACAGCCTTGACGGACAACACTTGAGGTTGCAAAAGCAGATGCCAGTTCGCCATAAGCTCTCACTCGACTAGTAGTGTTCGAGTAAAGAGCTTTCACAAGGTTTATGCACTTCTAAGGTGCATCTTCTAATGACGGACACTGCCACAGAACCTATCGGTCTCCAAAGTCAAATGCTACTTTTAATTCAAGAAAGACCACCATTGTCGGACGCCGATAAGTATGCCTGTGTTCTAGAACCTGACGAATGGTGAATATGTGGTCGATGCAGCCACGAACAGGTCTGAAGCCAGATTGATTTTCCCGTGTTTGCAGTTCACGAGTCTTAGGCGTCCGATAATTATCGAGGCTAATATTTTAGATGCTATATTAGTCAAACTAATCCCTCTGTGGTTGTCACAGGATGATTTATCCCTCTCTTTTAAATATTGGGACGATCAGTGACTGTGACCAGTCAGATGGAATAACGTCCAACTCCCAGATTTTAGCTAAAATATTAGTAAACTTAATTGCTAAAACTGGACCGCCATACTTAAAAACCTCTGGAGCCAACCCATCTGGACCAGCTGCTGGATCAGCCTAACTATAGCCTTTTGAACTTCAGCTAGAGTCGGGAGACCTACTTCAATGTTCCATTCACACTGTCTGGGAATGGTGGGTAGTTGTAGAGAGAACGAAACGAAGTAATGGGATTGTTCTATTATTGTCATACGACAATTCAGACGCAGTGGCTGAGTCAGATGCTGCCAAAGCTTAGTTATTAAAACTATTTCGGCTAGGTTTACCCGAGGATATTGTTATTAAAACTCCTCGTAGACACACTGCTGAGACCAGTGCTTGTGACTGAGAAGGCCGTTCTTACATCACTTGTTGGCTGCAAACCTGGCTGTGATTGGTTACGATCACGACTGCTGTCACCCCCCACGTATATCATTTCAGAACCACTCACAGTGTTGTTCAGCATGTCTCAACTCCCTAGGAATTGGATGGTATTGTTAACCTTATATTTAAGTATAGAAAGAGACAGATCGTGTCTAACTACATATCTGTTAGTTTAACTATCATAGTAGTCAATTTATTTGAGAAAGTAATTCAGGATAAGTTATTAGGTCACATAGAATCATATAACCTGTTAACTTCTAAGCAACACGGGTTTTGAGATAGACATTTATGTTTAACTAACTTACTGACTGTAACGGAGGATTAGACAGCGGGCCAAGATAGCGTTTTATCTGTCGATGTGATATTCATAGATTTCAGCAAGCCATTTGATAAGGTGTCTTACTAAAGCTTTAAGCAAAAGCTCTCCAGCCTTGGAATAACAGATAAAATACAAGAGTGAATAAGAAAGTCCCTCTGACCGAGAGTGAAGGTAAACAGTACACTATTTGGATAAAAACTAGTTAAAAGTAGTGTCTCCGAAGGCATCATCTTAAATTGCCTATTTTTTCTTCTCTACGTCAATAAAATTACCATAACTGATGTCGTCAACAATTACTTGCAGGTAATGTCAAAGTCTGGAGAAAAATAAGTAGAATTGATCATCTTTATCTCCCAGCTAATCCAGGCGAATTAGCTAGACGGTCACGAAATTGGAGTTTGGAAATTATTTCTAGGGAATATACTAATGTACACTGGACACGGTAATAGTTACCAGTATGCCGTCAATGATACATAGCTTCCATGCATGTAAAACCTTACCTAAAGTATTTCATCCAAACAGTTAATCCATGTTTTACTTAGGATGTTATTACACTCGAGCATCATCAATGTGCAGGAAATAAGTTAGCGGTGGATCTTTCCAAACTCCCCTACAATGAGAGCTTAAACCTTTTCTCCTTATCTTATCGTGGGACGCGAGGTAACCTGATATTGACATTCCGTATCTTGAATAATGCTTTGTGTGTTAACATATCTTATCATTTAGCACCCCCCCCCAGAACAAATAATGTGAGTGGCCATCTCAATAAGGTTCAAAAACTACGATCAAATAAACTCAGAGTAGGGTTACATTTTTCTTATAGAGTGGTCAATGACTGGAACACCCTACTCCAACAAGTGTTATCAGCCCCATCAGTGAACACATTCAAGAAAAAGCTGGATCACCAATAGAAAACAAGCTGGAAAGATTAGCACAGATTGATCGACCTGCTGAACAATCAATTTCTGTTAGGCTGATAAGAAGATAATCAATTTGGGTAGCTTACCACATGAAAAAATTAATATATTTGTTCCATACAGTTATACAAAAATAACCAAAAACAAACATTCAGAAATATTAGTTTAATTTATACATTGAAATTAAGACGAACAGTAGTTTTTATACATAAAAAATTGAATCTGTAGTAATATACATCTGGTGTATGCTACTTGGGCTGACAGATATAAGTAGTATGTATCCCCAATCGGAAGTGGAATGCCTGGTAGCAGGAAATTGAATTGCAGAGTATAGAAAGGAAGCCGAAGAGGAATCGAGATAACAGAATTAAGGAAATAATGTAATAGGTAAAGGACAACGCAAAGAAGATGTACAAGTAACTCAATTTAATTATGCATAAATAATTCCATAGAAAACTAGACAATTATTAGAAAACTAATAACTAGATGGCAAAAACCAATGTCCCATAGGTATCCTATGTAAAAATATAGTTCCACAACTTAAAAAGAAAAATGAAAATGCTAGAAAGAAAAGCACTCTTTCTGTAAAACGACGCCGACGAGCTAACGATGTTAAATGTTTCGACTGATTCATATGTCCAGCCATTTCTTTCAGTTCAGAATAATTCGAGATTAATTTATTTGATGAATTTTCAAGTAATTCAGCATTAACAGCTCCACGTTGAACTTCTTCCGCTAGAAGTCTAGCATACCTTGTCATATCTTGAGTAAGTTCCAATGAGTTTTGATATTGTTCTTCTAAATTGGAAATTTTGTTACCGATTTCAATTCTTGACGAACGATTAGTAAGTTCAGCCTTTTCAACAGTTTCTAAAGTTGAATTGGCTGCAAAGATAGCTTTACGATATCGATCCTGACAAATATCCAAAGTATAAAATTAAAAAAAATTATAAATATTATAACTAGAAGACATATTTATACAAACAATAAATTACATCAAACATAAATCTGAATTACAATTAAACATAATTCATTAATTCATAGGAAATTCAACCCAAATAAGATAAAAAGTGACCATTGTTTTAAATGAAAAGAATTTATAAGGATTAAGCAATGTGTATCATTGAGAAGGGATTAAATTTAGAAAATCAAAACACAAAGTTGTATGTTTATTGTAAGACAAAAGAATAGAGAGATATGCTATTTTGTTTTACACACAAAAAAAACAGGTATTGAAACAAAAGATGTTAAGTCTTATGATCATTAACTGAGACATTATCACAATATCGACGTCAGTATCGATGACAGTTTACGGTTAAGTGAATAAAACTTCTCTTTGAAAAAGTATCCTGAGCAATTTCTTAAGCAATTCGTGCATTTTAAAAGCTTTGTTACCGAATTCTGTCTCAAACTAGTAACAAAACGACTACCTTTTTGTGTTATAATGAACAGAAAATTGACTAATCTATAAAGTACTGGAACCACCGAATGATTAGCAACCTGTATATATTTTTACTTATCTAGCAAATTTGTACATGTATATAAATTTATCAAATAAAATGGAATCATTTTCTGACAAATTGTGCTGTATTTTTATGTAAATCCAACTGAGGTTTCGATTTCGATTTTGTATTTCAGTAACGATTCAAACCGAACCATCTAAAGAACAGCCACAAATGAAATGCATTTTGTTTTGACTGTTAGTCAAGTGTAAAATATAGATGGAAAGAGCTTGTCAACAGAAATGCTCCAATACCTAGAACGACCCGATAGTGTACCCCAACAGTAATTTACAACACATGTTGTAAATGCGACTGGCCATAAATTATTTTGACAGCCAACCTAACTGAAATTATCCCAGTAAGAAAACCACGACAGCCAAGACTTAGAAATAACGAAAAGTAGTTTGGGTTAGCTGTCCGACGAATTTTGTCTCCAGAACGGTATTAATCATATCCGATTGCCACTGCTTCAGCCTTAATCGAACGGTCGAGTCGAGCGTTTTGTTGGTACATTCAAAGACTCTCTGAAAACATCTGACGGGCGAGGACCATTGAGATCCTAGGTGGGTTCCTGTTCATCTATTACACTACACCGAACCTTCAATCACCCAATGACATCTTTCGACTTTTTTGGTCCGCTGCCATCGTATGAACTTCAACAAAACATCTATGGAGAAGCAATTCAAACAACATTATGAAGCATAAAAATGATTGTTTACTGTCAGAAAGTATTTGCTATGAATTACCGTGACAAATGCCTTACATGAATAGCCAATCGAATCCTGAAAAGAATAGGTTACGTTACCTATGACTTGTTAGTTGGTCTACCAAATTGAGTATCACACGTTAATCAGTTGAGAGCAACTTCACTAGCGAGAAGCATCGTAGAATACTAGTTGATATTTTGTTTGACATCTTCGACATTTAACTATCAGTATTATTTCAGCTCAATCTAGGGCACAAAAACAATACAATGTCTTTAATGACAAGAATTTGGACAGCTATGAAGAGCAGACAGGTCAGTCTGATGCAGGTGGATTGTAACAACATATCTGATACGATACTCAAAGATTAGACTTTACAGTCAGGTTTTAATTGACTGGAAAATGAGTGACTAACAAGTTAACTTCTTCCAATCACTTAAATTTTATCAAGTTTATTTTGTGTTCATAATTTCTCTATAAGCAAGTCATTTTCTTACATGAGAAAGCCTACTTATCTGGCTATTAGTGACCTTGTCGTTTTTTCTAATAGTTCGGCGACTTAAGCCGAAACAGACGGTTTTATGAGTAGCCATTGCTAGGTCCTACTATATCATTGCGTTCATGTATCAATTAGCATTTTATACATTGATTTCGACATTCAAAAAAATTGATCCAATTAAATCATAACGGAAAACCTCCCTCCAACAACAATATCCTACAAATCTGCTCAAAGATAGAGATGTTAACAGGATATTGTCCTGACTATCGCATGCTCTGACCAAAATGAAATCGGGATACGCTAACTAGTCCACATTTAATCGACATGCATTAGTGGAAGGATCGAGATGCTAGATTTTTATGTAAATTCTAAGAAATCTCGAGTGTTTTGACTATAGCATTTTGTGGTTTGATTTATTGGGACATATATTGTTTGATCTCCATTCCTATTCAGATTTGGAAAAAGTCGAGTGATACCTAATGCGCAGTGTATACAAGGCAGTAAATGAAAATAATAATACTCGATAATGTAACAGGAAGATGAAGACTATCAGAACTATGTGATATATTAGCGCAATACATTTCGAACAATCTGATCACACATATACTTGTTAAGAGCATTTATATATAAAAATAAAAGGTCAACTAGACTGGAAATGGGGTAAGAGGAGATAAGGATAATAATCAGAGTAATAATAATAATAATAATGTGAACACAATTGGAAACCTGATCACTCTGGATAATAAGTCAATATTACCAGGGTAGGTTTAAGGTAAGAACAAACTGTTTTTGAATACACAAAGGGGGTTTGAATTTTCGTATGGCTAAGGCTTCAATAAGCCTTAGTATACGCTCTTTTATACAAAACCACAAAAGCCGAGTTTAGATCAATCTTACGGCCTGTTTCAATTATATGTTTAGCAATAGAGGATGATGGATGTTTATCCTCTGCTCTTATTGGGTCACTTGATTGTATTTGTTTCTGCAGCCATTTTGGTACATGTTCACACACCCCAATGTTTAGATCACGATTGCTCCTCCCTTGTGTGTGTGTGTGTGACCACACACATTTAAATTGGGATGTGACACAATCGTTTTAATTAGATCGTCATGAGGCTTTACTCTAATATACATGAATATTTATACGAAAATGTAAACCAATCAAGGCAATATGGGTCAATAATCACAATGAAATAGAATAAGTCCTGTCTTCCTACTACAAACTTGTACTTTTACCTATTATGTGTAGAGACTTATTCTATTTCATTGTGATTATTGACCCATATTGCCTTGATTGGTTTACATTTTCGTATAAATATTCATGTATATTAGAGCAAAGCCTGATGACGATCTAATTGAAAACAATTGTTCGCTTATATGTGTTGTTCTAATTTTCACAATGGGAATCTTTAATAATCGTTTTAATGTCTTTTAGGTTTTGGTTGAAGCATGCACCTAGTTCTTTGTTTGATAATGACCCTTGCTGCGCAATACGTTTTATTGATGACTAGTTTAAGTCTGTTTCAATAAAAGGCTATTTGAATCACCACTGAATGATAAGGTGATGTAGACAGGCTTTGTTTCTACCCAGGCTACAGTAAGTCTCACTGTACCATGGACTTTCCATCTATTTATGAATTTCAGAGGATAACCATTTCCTATTAATGTTTTATTTAGCAACCTAGCATCATCAATGGCGTCATTTGTACAAATACGATCAAGCCTGTTAAAAAGACAGACCACGTGTGTATTGCACAGGGCAATAACTAAGGTGTTGACCTGTCCACGTTGGTTTTCTAAAAATGGATCGCTTGACTGAGCCATCTTCTCGTCTACTCAGAAGTATATCTAAGAAGGGAAGCTGATCGTTTTTCTCCTCTTCACATGAGAGACTAATATGGTTTTGGAGAATGTTAAGTTTATTTAATAAACGGTAAATATCTTCTTTTCTTTCACAAACAACTAAGATATCGTCCACATATCTCTTATAAAGTGACATGTTTCCGATTAGGCCATCGGCCATATTTTCAACATGTGCCATGAACACATCTGCTAATAATGGACTACCCATAGCAACCCCATCAATCTGACGAAGGTATTCACCTTCAAAAGTGAACTAAACTTTGTCAGTACATAATAATAGTAAATCTTTAAGAAGTTTTACAGGTACACGTGATTGGAAATTGTTTACAGATATGTAATCACATAATATATCAATGGTATTTTTCAAAGGTACATTTGTAAACAAGGAATTTACATCAAATGAACACATTGTCTTTTCCTTGATATTAATATCACCTAAATGATCAACCAGTTCAAAAGAATCCTTTAGAGAATGCTTACATAGATGTCTTCGAATAGGGTCCAACAACGTTGTTAACCATTGTTGGGATATTCAGGAAAATATCCCCGAAATTATCCTATTAGGTCTAATGCTATTCTTGGACTTCGACATGGTATGATTTTCTTATTGGTCAGTACTTATTTCACGTGTTATTTTCCTACTGGTCAATATTGTACAATGTTATTTTCTATTTTATGGTATGTTGTGGTCTGATTGATTGGTATATAAACAAAGTACGTTTGAAATATAATGATTCATACGTCCGAGGCTGTGACTTGCGTTCTGGACTCAACTGCTGGGCTAAACAGGGAAGCGGGGCCAATCAGAACCCTAGGTCGTTCTACGTGTTTGCGCGTCTTTGGTCCGATCGATAATTCGCTCCCCTCTATCTGCTGCCGTGTCACAGTTATAACAACCATTTAGTCAGATTATGTGTAGGTGATCTGCACATTGATAGAATTGGACGTAAAGGAACATTAGGTTTGTGAATTTTAGGTAGTCCATATAAATGAGGGTACTCGGAACCCATAGGTTTTAGAAAATTAAATTCCTCTTTATTAATAATATTCATGCGTAGCAATTTTTCTAGGTTTGAATTTACTCTTCCTTCTAGTTTGCTAATACCTCCAAATTCAACATCAGGCATAAATTTACTTTCATCACTAAGGATGGATAACATCTTACTTTTATATTCACATTTATTCATGATAAGTACGCCTGATCGTTTATCAGGTTTTAACAAGACAATATCAGAGTTTGTTTGTAGTTCTTTTAATGATTTAAAATGCTGAGAAGTTAATATGCTTCTCTGTTTCGGTCCAACATTATGAAATTGGTGTGCTATATCCACTAGTTTAGCTTTAC